TTCGGCCTTCGACATGCTCTATGGTGTCATTTTCTTCAAGACGCTGTAGTTCTTGTTCTACATCTTTGCGGATGTGGTACGGGATGCACCTGTGTGTCTGCGCCTTTGGTGTGACGTTCTCGTCGATGTGAATTCTGACCTTTACATCGCTAATTTATCCCATCCTCGTCGCCAGTATAATGTTTAGTTGTTTTATAGGTCCAGTTTATAACACACAGCAGACAAGATGACGAAGAGTATAGAAACAAGAGTGAAGGCATTGATGGCTGCTCGTTTTCTTTATTGTTCTTCAAATGCGCCAAAACCGATAGCCAGCATTGTTTACATGCTACTATGCCAGGTTGGCATAGGTAGGCTAAATAGACATTACAGGATAGTTCACGAGAAGTGTATATAATCAGTCAATCACGGCCTTCAGTGGGACAATCGGACGACAGAGAGTAGGGGACAGAGCCTTGGTCGACTCACTGCAGGAAACGTACAATGTACTACATTTGTTGAAATTAAATACTCAACAACCACGGAAAGAGTTTTCGCTTATCATTTTATAATGTCGTTTTAACTTGTGGTGTAGTGCTGTGTTCTGCAACAACGTCTGCCCCAGTGTCTGCTGTCTCCTTCAATTTCATTCTTTTGACGAGCCCTTGATTTCACCATGATGCCTCACAAATAAGTAGGCTACACATTCAGTGCAGGTGTGCAATTCAAAATAAGCTGGTTAGATTGTTGCCTTTTTTGTCTACATGTTGATGCACAATACATTTTATATGTATACATTTACAAGTACGTATATTTCTGTACATGTACATATCTACCTATCTTTTATATTATATTATGTGTGTGTTTATATGTGTGCAGGTGTGTGTAGAGAGAGGGGGAGAGGGGGAGAGAGAGAGAGAGAGAGAGAGAGAGAGAGAGAGAGAGAGAGAGAGAGAGATGCATTGCTGGGTAAGCAGGTGAATTTCAATGAACTTAGGTGCTGGAAAAGAGTTTATTTGTTTTTTGTTGCGATAACGTGCACATGTATATTTGCATGCCTGCTTGACTGATTTGATGTGAAGCAATGTTGTGATACCCAAGCTGTTAAAAGCACACTGTTGACTTTTACCAAACAAGGTCAATAAAGTTTATCTTATCTCATACTCATATTGTTGGATGTTCTGTACTGCCTCCACAAATGACACAGTAACTCACAAATGTGTCGCAGACGTGTCTTTGTATGTATGGCTTCATGATGGCCTCTGTCTTAATATTATATTCTTTTAATTAAGGATAGACTGGAGTGGAAAGTATGTTTTGTTCCTGAGCATGTGGTTTCTTTTTTTGAGGGGGCTGGGGCGGTGGGGGTCTTTTTTCCCCCCCTCAAATCTCATGTTTATTTGTTTATTGGTCACTTTAAAACATCTAAAAATAGAAAGTGTTTTGTTTTTTTAATTTGTTTTGTTGACTTGATATGGTCAAAGTGAAGTAAAGGGTACATGGCTTTTGATTAGGTGAGAAAATTGCTGATTTTTCTTTCATTTTGTTTCTATGACACTTGACCCCTGTGATGGTGATGACTCTTTGTCTCCGCTTTATATAACTATAATACTTTGCATTGGTAATTGCATCTATTGTTAATTTCATTGTTCAAATGAAAGCTTCGCAGGTGGTTGATGGGTGCTCTGGTGTGGTTTGCTCTTTCTTTCCTATCCAACGTTTATCTATCCTTATATCTCTGTGGGTGGTTGGCGGGTGCTCTGGTGTGATTTGCTTCTTCACTATCAAACATCTATCGTCCTTATCTCCCCTTCTTCTTTTTTATGTTTGTTACTCTCTTTGCGAATGGCGATAAATTAGGCCAACAGCTTGAGTGACATGGGTCGTGCCACCCTCCTCTCTAAGAGAAAAACGTGGGCCAGAGAGGTGTATTATAATAATAGGGGTTATTATTATTATTAGCGAAAGAGGTCAGCAAACTGATCTCATACCCCAGGGACGGTGCCACTGACTGTAGTGTCTTTAGGCCATTCCCAAAGGGGGAACATTTCTCGTTGAAGCGCAGTAGAATTGTAAATGGGCTGATTCATCATGTCAAGCTCATAACTGTGCCTGATCTGCTACAGGGAACTGCTGCTTTTTCTTTCCTAATCCTTACTATTGTCATTTTCCTCTACTTCTTTTGTATATGTTTGTCACACTTTTGTGACCTACTATTTCCGGGGTGCCTTGATAGTCGAAGTAGACCTAGTGCTGTTGAAGCTAGAGAGGTGGGCAGAGTAAGTCTGATTCCCTGCACTGTAAAGGACTTCTCTGTTGACACCCACCCCTTGGCGCTCATATGACCTTATGCAGTTGCGAGCGCCGTAAAACCCTCTACTATAATTTATGCTATTAAAAAAAACAAAAAAACAAACCCACCCACCCCTTGGCGCTCATATGACCTTATGCAGCTGCGAGCGCCGTAAAACCCTCTGCAAAAAAACCCTAAACAAACGAACTACAAAAAAAGCCTGATCTCATCTCAATTACCAGGCATCCTGCATGGTTACATTCTGAACGGGTATCACCTCTCGATTAACAAAGCCTCCACTCTGTGGGCTGGGGGACCTCACGATCTGGTTTTGCTGCACGAGATCAACAGTGGCAGAGAAAAATAGAAGAAGGGAATGAGACCCCCCCAAAAAATGAGAAAAAGAAGATACAGCACAACAAGTGTCGCACATAGATCCTAGGGGGATTGAGGCCCGTATGCGACCCATCTCGTCTTTGGAAGAGTTTCACCCTCTGAATACGGGACAATGGGTCTATATATATCCCCACCCCGCCCCCAACCCCCCAACCCCACATCAGAGGGGGGAAGGGGAGGGGGTGGCTGTCCTATCTCTACATTAATATCAACAGTACGTCTTTGAATCTGTTGGGGGCTCTTTTGTTGCTA